AATTATTTTTATTTTTATTTTAGAGATGAGGTCTTGCTCTGTCATCCAGGCTGGAGTGCAGTGGCATGATCATAGTTTGCTGCAGCCTCAAGCGATCCTCCCGCCACAGCTGCCTGAGTAGCTGGGATTACAGGCGAGAGCCATTGTGTCTGGCTGTATTTGCATTTTAATCGTCAAACTTTTGATGCTCATGATTCCTCTAACCTGAAATTTTTAGTTTTATTTTATTTATTTTTTTGAGACAGGGTCTTGCTCTGTTGTCTGGGCTTGAGTGCAGTGTCATCATCATAGCTGACTGCAACCTCAAACTCCTGGGCTCAAGTGATCCACCTGCCTCAGCCTCTCCAGTAGCTGGGACTGCAAGTGTGCACCACATGCCTGGCTAATATTTTAAAAATTTTTTTGCAGAGATGGGGGTCTCACTGTTTTGCCCAGGCTGGTCTTGAACTCTTGGCCTCAAGCCATCCTCCTGGTTTGGCCACCCAAAGTACTGGGATTACGGTGCAAGCCACTGTGCCTGGCCTCTTCCCTGAAATATAAAACCTGCCCTTGCAGCCCCCGCCCCCATGTGTTACCTGTAGGCATGGTGGGAATGAATGAAGATTTGGCGTGCCACTAGAAAAAGACTGTCAACCCTTGGTTTAAATCTTTGCTTGATAATGGTAGTTAGGTTTAACTGAAACAAACAATTGAAGTAAATGTGGGGCTTGAGGGGACACTCTAGACATCTTTCATTTTGTATCAGTAGAATCTTGAAGTAAAGGAGGCTTTTCGTTCGAAGTATAAGGCAAGTAAAAATTGATCCTAGTCAATTTCTTAGATTGATCTCTCAGTCTCTTTAACATCTCCCTTCAATTTACCTTTTTAACTTGATTTTTTACAAGAATCTTCTGATGTTAGTCAAACTGAGCTCACTGTGTAATTCACATGCTTTGTGAATTTTCTCCTCCTTCCTCTCCTGTTCTGAAATTGTTTCTGTCATTTTAAAAGTCCTGACTGCCATCACCTGCGCAGCACTGTGTACTTTCCTTGAAGCCCACGCTCAGTCCTGTCGTGCTCATGAAGCCTTTTCTTTCTGCCCTGGTCCACTTTGTCCTCTGATCTTCTAAATCACTTCCAGGATCATCACCTGGTTTGGCATTTCTCATAAGTTGTGTTGTATTCTTATTCTTCATATATGTGGTCTTCTCTCCCCAACTACATTATAAATTCCTTGAGCTTAGATCTCTGTCTCATATTTTTCCGTTGTCTATAGCAAGGACCAAATGTATGTATTTTTAATACTGGCTACACCCCAGCTAGTTTGTAGAGTCATTTAAATACTTGAGACTATTTTTCTTGTTCATTTTAATTAGTGAACATGGTTTTAAAAAGTGCTGTGGAAAATATAAAGATGACTAAAATATAGTTCCTCCCCTCAAGGGATTTGTAGTCTGGCACAATCTGTGGACCACACACAGCAAAGTGTGCTGTGAAAAAGTGCAGACTCAGTACTATGGGAATTGGGAAGGGTGAACACACTTTCACTGGTGAGTTGTGGAGTAGGTTTTGTGGGGTAGATTAATGCCTGAGTTTGCCCTTGAGTGAAGTTTCAGCAGGTGAAGATAACTAGACTTGGAAAGGACCTTTAAGGCGAAGGGAACCCTTTGAAACAAAAGCATGGAGGCGGGAAAGCACCAAGGCTGCTGTGGAGAAATCAGTCATGTGGATGATTAATGTGCATGTAATTGAGACATTGAACCTCAGATTACTTCTTGATCCATAATTTAGCAGTGGTTCCCAAACTTCAGCATCGGAATTGCCTGAAGGGCTTGTTAAAATACAGATAGCTGGGCCCACCCCAGAGTTTGCGGTTTGCATTGCCAAGTTCCCAGGCGATGCTTGTGCTGCACGGTGTGAGAGCCACTGTGTCAGAGCACCAGTCCGTCTGATAAGTGCCTTATAGAAATGCCTATTTTATGTATATAAATACCCTGGCGCCAATGCGTAACAATGTTCTCATTGCTCTGTGTACATCTGGTTTTCCCATAGATTGTAAATTCAGGCTTTTATTACTGAACTCCTAGTGCAATGCTGTAGTAACAGTAATGATAGTAGTAAATACTGAACTTGCTCACTTGGCATTCAATTTTTAAATATCTGAAACAGCAGCACAAACTTCTGAACTCTTGTGACTCAAAATGTAAAGCACAAGTGAATATAGTAGCAGTTCTCAAACTTTTTTCTCAGGACCCTTTGTATTCTTAAAACTTAATGATATTGCTAAAGAGATTTTGTTCCTGTAGATTATATGTATTGATATTTACCATATTAGTAGAAATTAAAACTGTGAAAAGGCAGGCATGGTGGTTCACACCTGTAATCTCAGCACTTTGGGAGGCTGAGGTGGGAGAATCGCTTGAGGCCAGGAGTTAGAGACCAGCCTGGGCAACATAGTGAGACCCTGTCTCTATTAAAAACAAAACAAAACAAAAAAAACCCCAATTAGCTGATGTGGTGTGGCATGTGCCTGTAGTCCCAGCTTCTCAGGAGGCTGAGGCAGGAGGATAGCTTGAGCCCAGGAATTCAAGGTTACAGTGAGCTAGGATGATACCATGATGCCACTGCGTTCCACTTTGTATACAAATGTCCATAAAACCAGAGAGAGACCCTGTCTCTAAAAAAAAAAAAAAAAACCAGAATATGTAAAAACATTAATTCATTGGAAATAATAATAAACCCATTACATGTTATATAAACTTTTAATGAAGAATAACTATTATCTAAAACAAAAAAATTTAATGAGAAGATGGCATTGTTTTACTTTTTTGCAAATCCATTTAATATCTGGCTTAATGGAAGACAACTTGGTTCTCCTATTTGATTCTGCATTTACTCTCTAGTGATAAGTTGTTTTGGCTGAGGTATATGAAGAAAAATAGCTTCACACAGACTTATAGGAAAGGAAAAAAGTACTTTTAAGAACATTTACAGACAATTATGTACTTTCTTCTTCTTTTTTTGTTTTTTTTGAGACAGGGTCTCACTTTGTTGCTCAGGATAGAGTGCAGTGGCGTCATCATAGTTCATTTCAGCCTCCACCTCTTGGGCTCAGGTGGTCTTTCTGCCTTAGCCTCCCAAGTTGCTGGGACTACAGGTGCACACCACCACACCCGGCTAAATTTTTTTATGTTTTGTAGGGACAGGGTCTTGCTATTGCCCAGGCTGGTCACAAACTCCAGGCCTCAAGCCATCCTCCCACCTTGGCCTCACAAAGTGCTGGGATTACAGGTGTGAGCTGCCATGCCTGGCCATATTTTCATTTTTGATTCAACTCCAAAAACCGGTTCTTTTTGGAGTAATATCTGGAATCTGGAATGATATGAATGAATTTTTATGGTCTGATTTGTGCTTCGAATGAATCCTTTACCCCATGCATGATTTTGTACCATCATGCATTATTGGTTGGAAAATAATGATTGACTGAGTTATGTGATCATCCAAATATTGGCACATTTCATTATATAATATAAAAAATTACATTTGTTAATACCATCAATCTCATCACAAAGCTCTTTAGTATTGGGAAGCTGTCAAGTTCACAGTGGAGGATATGTTTTCTAAAATTCTTTTTCTTAAAAGCTTAAATTTTATCATGCGAATAGACAGTTGTTTTCCTTGAAGTGACAGGCACACATAGTTTATGTTCAAGAAAATGTCTGCCAAGTACACAGGACTGAGTAACTTATGGTTTGTCAGTCATGCTTTCAAGTAAAAACGGTGTTCTGTGAGAAAGGCAGCTCACTGAGCACGCGCGTCACCGCACAAGTGCTTTGCTTTGAGACAGTCGTACAGTGGTGTGCAGAAGTGTTTCACGTGTACTTCCCACTCTTGTTACACAAAGTGCTAAAAAGGCACGCATTCAAAGGTTGAAATTTATTAAAATTATGTTTTTCCTTCAAGTGCTGCTTCACATTCTTTTTATTTTTAAAATTTTTTTGGTTTTTTAAAAAATTATTTTTCCTTCACGTTCTTAAGTGAAAGTGGCTTTGTTTTTTTTCTTGCAAGCATTCGTGGTGTAAAAAAACAGAAAAGAATAGTACGGTTTGGTTCCATTGCCTTATGATAGCACAGGACAGTTTTTATCCACCGTTGCTTTTGTACCATCAGTGCAAATGTCAACATAGTGAAAAAGGCAAAAAAGTCTTAGTATTGTTATGAAAATACTTTCGATCTCCTGAAAGGGTCTTGTGGGTATCCTAGGAGTGCGCAGACCATTCTTTGAGAACGGCTGTGTTATGGTAATGAAAGTCAGGGTTGTTGGGATGGTATCTCTCTGTGCCACTATCTCCTTAGAGATCCTACCCTCAGTTTTGTAAGCTCAGAAACTCTTTTTTGAAAAATCAGTTTACTCAGAGATTAAACTCTTGAATCATACTAACAAATTTAGAAATCATAGTTTATAAAATACAACTTTGTGTATTTACAATGAGATAAACACCAAAAAGATACTATTCCCTTTGTTTACTGTTGGAAACCAAAACTGTAATCTGAGCGTAGAATTTTGGAACATTGACTTGAATGTCCTCATGGCTATTTTTACCAGCTTTGTGATCTTGACTCACCTTTTTCCATAACAGCAGTGTACCTGCTCCGTGGATTCACTATGTCTCTTTTCCAGAGAACCTTTTTCCCTTGTTAGTGAAATAGACATTTTCTTTTTAATCCCCTTTTTCTAGATTTCTCGGGCTATATACTTCTTTTTAGTTTGGCAATACATGATCACCTTTCTTCATTTTGGTGTATTTTTATGTTTAAAATGTTAAAATTATACATATGAAAAAAGTGTGGGTGAGTGTATATGTATGTGAGAATCTGCAGTTTAACAAGATCCCCAGAAGATTTATATGCACAGAATGAACAGTAAAATGAATATCCATGTGCACCCCACCAAATTAAGAAATCAAAC